TCCAGATTTCTGCCGTGCTGGGGAACCTGTTTGTTCAAACACATTGAGCTCATCACTGCCAGTTTTCACAAAACACTATGGCTATGCCTGGGGGCGGCATTTAACATAGGTAGGAATTATAGAAAGAAGTCTGCCAGCCGCTCAGTGGGAGACCATTCAGCTCTGTCTCAACCATAAGAAAGAATAGAAAGCTGAGTTGCTTTAATACTCAAGTGCCAGAAGAAATATTGGGGGCGACTAAAAAGCATGCTGATTTTTAGAACCAAGGTCATATGTTGGGGGGAGGAAGAGAGAAAAAGAAAAGAAAACATTACATTTGAACAAAGTCCTCAAGCTGCTATTGTTGCATTGAGTTCTTGGACAAAAAGGTTTAAATGACTAAGCTTTGGCTTTTATAATGCTTTGGAAATCCCATCTTAGAAAAACACAAAATATGTACTTGGCTACATTTATGTTTAATTGAACTTTTATTAGGTTTGTTAATGTATCACCATAAAATATTGTCACTGTGAGAAACAGTATAGAAAGGATATGTTATGTAAATGAAATAGAAAACTCTCTAGGTTTGCCATATAAAAGACAAAAGATTAGATGAAAAATCTGTTTGAATGCAGAGAAAATTAAATTTTGTGTTAGTACCTATGCTATATTGTATTCAGTGACTGCCACAGTAGTGACTTAAAAATGAAACTGATTATTTTTCTACAAATCCTTGTTAGTTGCTGCCTGATCTGTTGTATCATTCTATAAATGACTGTTTCTCGAGTCTGGAAGAATTCACAATGATTTTTATAGTAACGTGATAGAGAATCAGAAATCCCCTAAAATGGGAAAATGGACAGATGGTCAGGCTCAGTTCCTATAGGACTTAGATGATGTGCTGTTCTTCAGGCACAAGAATGATGGTAGTGCCACTGACATGCCCATCACTGTGTCTCTTGTAGAACATCTTTCATCTGGTGTTCTTAAGCCATTTTTGCAGCTGCATTTGGCCCTTGTGATATTTCCAGGATATCTGGGAATTAACAAAAAAATCATCTGTGGTACTACCTTGTAATTTGTAACTTTCAGTATCTTAATAATTACATTTCTGCATATTAAAACACTGAGTTCAACATAATTATGGATAACGATTATCAGGAAGGAAGAGATTATCATAGAAAAAAATTGGTTTAAAAAAAAGATTTAAAAAACTTTACAGAAGAGGGTTGTGCAAAAAAACCCACTTTAATGAAAATGGAGTACGTTTAAAATTACATTCTATTCATGACAAGTTGTTCAGAAGGAGGCAAGAGAAACATGATTAACCTCATACTGGAATGTGGAACAAATAATGAAATAGAGATTTTTTCCTCTATTTTTTGAAGTTGCCATGGAGACCTTCTCTGGCTCATTGGCCAGGATACTGAACCTTTCCCAAAGCCACCATAGCTCTGTTAGCTCATCAGAAATTCAATTCAACAAGTATTTATTTATTCAGTGCTCACACATCCCTTAAGTGCTGTCAGGGATACCAAAGAAGAATACAGTATGGCCCCTCCCCTCCAGGAGCTTTTAATCTTCCTTGTCAGACAATACTTACATGCACTAAACCACTTGAGAACAATAACAAAGCATACCAAAATGTGTGGTATAGATCAGTGGTATCAAACTCAAATAGAATTGGGGCCATTAAACCACATATAAGGATCTCTGCAGACCCATAGTGACTTAGAAAACCACATATTAATGATATCTGTGTTCTATTGTATTTTTATTTATTTTGTTAAATATTTCCCATTACATTTTAATCTAGTTCCTGAGGTACTGGGGAGTGTTAAAGGCCTTCGGTCCCTGGGCCTTTTGTTTGATGTCTCTGGTATAGATGATGTTATGAGAAGTCAGAAAGGGAAGAGATCAGTGCGGCCAGATTTGCAGATAAAATAGTAATGGAGCTTGAAGTGAAATTCGTATTATGGAGACATCATGGAACAGTAGAAAGGACATGGGCTCTGCAGGAAGAGAAACTGGTTGCATCCTAGTTTTGCCACTTACTACCTGTGTGACCTTAGGCAAATCATTTTACTTCCCTAGATCTCAGTTTTCCCCGTCTGTAAAATGGGGGGGTTGGAGGTCTCTTCCAGATCTAGATCTATGTTCCTATAATGATGAGTACTTAGGACAGTACTTTGCATGTTTATGGTTTTTTTATTGGACTTGTGAGTTCATTGGTATATGGGCCTCCCAGAGAACACTTCCCCTACCAGTGTAAATAAGTACCTCTTCCAAAACCTGTAGTCTCAGAGACTTTTCAGGGACACTGAGTGGTTCCATGGTTTGCCCAGAGTAACTTAACTAATAGGGATCAGAAGAAAGACTTGAACTCTTTTAACTGACTCCATATCTACTGGCCATTCTTCCTTTAAAGTAAAGGGAAAACTACGTAAGTGTTTTTAGTTGAAAATTGAACTGAAGTGAAATGATGTTCTAGGGGGTAGGAATGACATTAATAAAATTATGAAGGCAGAAAGTTGGCGTGTTCCAAAGATAGTAGGAAGATTAGCTCAACTGGAACAAAAGCTAGATGTGTGTAAATGTATAGTGGTAACAATGTTTTGATAGCTAAGATTAAATGTCAGGATGAAGAGCTTGTGTTTGATCCCATAAACACTATGGAGCCATTATAAGTTTTTGAGTAGAGAAAGGCTTAATGCATGAGTATGCTAATAACATTATTCTGTATGTTCTGGGACAGTAGTCAGGGTGAACTAAAGGGGGCGAAACTGGAGGTGGGTACCTCCAGTAAGGGGTGATGTAGATCTCTGCTAGGGTAATGACAACTCAAATGGAAAGCTATTTAGAAGGAAGAGTCAACGGACTTACTCTAAAATTTTGGATTAAGAGAGGGGAAGAGTCAAAAAGGACTGCAAGATTTACAGCCTGGTAGAAGAGTAGTACCAGTGACTGAATGTGGGAACTTCAGAAGGGAAATGATGAGCCAAAGGTGATGACAAGTTCACTTTTAACTGTTTTTGAACAGAACATTTTGCAGCTTATCACCCCGAAAATTGTACTCTTCTTAACACCCAATATGACAAAGAAAGAAAGAAAGAAAGAAAGAGAGAGAGAGAGAGAGAGAGAGAGAAAGAGAGAAAGAGAGAGAAGAGAGAAAGAGAGAAAGAAAGAAGAAAGAAAGAAAGAAAGAAAGAAAGAAAGAAAGAAAGAAAGAAAGAAAGAAAGAAAGAAAGAAAGAAAGAAAGAAAGAAAGAAAGAGAGAGAAACAACACTTATACTAGGTGGCAAAGCAATCTATTGGAACATAACCTGTGGAGACCTAGATTTCTATTTAGGCTTCAGTGATAATTTCCTATGTGACTTGGGACAAATCATTTATTATCTCTCTCTCTTTTTTTTTTTTTGGCAAAGCAGTTGGGGTTAAGTTACTTACCCAGAGTCACATAGCTAGTAAGTGTTATGTGTCTGAGGCCGGATTTGAACTCAGGTCTTCCTGACTCCAATATTCACTGCCTGCCCCTAGTAATCTAATCTTTCTCAAGATTTTTTGACCTGATAAATACACAATAGCAGTGCTTACAATATGGTTTCCTTTTCTAAACATTTGTAAAAATAGCATTTTGACTTCTGTTAGAAGATAGTTGCTAAATAATTGCGAAGATAATAATCCTATGACCTCAAATATTAAAATAAGCTAATGTATGTGTTAGACACTAAAATCATTTGTAGTTCAAAACAAGCATTTTTCTCCTAAGCTGGGCAGTTTCTTATTAATAGCACTATTTAGTGCATATTGAAATGGAATGGCATTCTAACTCATCATGCATCCATGGGTTTTGATTCATGTTAGACACTCACCAATGGACTGAGTGTACTTAAATAAGAAAAACCACAAGCCACTCTATAATGCCAAATACTATACTAATTGTATCTAAAGTAGGGAGGAAAAAGAAAATATGTTTGAGCATGTATCTCTGTATCTATACACACACATATATACATACATACATACATACATACATACATACCTCACATTCCAATGCAACAAGCACTAAATGGTTCTTATGTGCCAGATATGGCTCTAGGGATATAAAGATAAGATGAAAAATGGCCTCTGCCTTCAAAGAGCTTACATTCAGCTTGGTAGATAAAGCATGTAAACAAATAAGGATATACATGATTATTTAAGCAAGGGGAAAAGCATTAACAACTGATTAGACTAAACTTTTAAAAAGTAATGTTCCAGTGATTGTCTCTTAATGCAACCTATGCCAGGAGATAGTTGACTCAAGGCCACTGTGCAAAATCAGATTGGGACTTGGATGTATTATCTTTAGATATAGCCAGTTGACTCCCAGCAGAGCCTATGTTGGCCAGGGTTATTGCTTTTAATAATGCACGTCTGCTGTTAATGTTTACCAGCTAGCTAATCAGAACTCCAGAGAATACATGCCGTGTTTGCATTGTTACAAGGTAGACATCATTTTACAATTAACTTCATTACGAATGGAATATAATCACATTATATAATGTTCCAAAATAATTGTATGTATAGAAATGTAGTTTCTATTGTAAGGGTAAAGGAAAGCACATGTTTTCATTTGGATATGTAAATAAATACACTTGCCCATACACATGCACACAATTATTGCAAGACATCTTTACAGCCTTTAGATTGAAAAAGGATGGTTCATGTTTAAATACTGTGTGAAAACTTGTTTTCTTAGGTGTACTTTTAGACAAGATTCACAAATCAGAGCTATCAGAGTTATCTAGAGACTTCATTGCATTGTTTGTAAATGCAAATTATCAGCCTATATTTGCTGCTTTGAATGACTAATTTAAAAGAATGAAAATAACAATAAATGCTGTACTACATATAGGTAGTAATTTGAAAATGCAGTTTTTAATATATGTGCAGCTGGTTTGTATAAAGGGAAAAAATACCTTTTTAAAAATCTTATACTTCAGAAATAATAAAATGTAGTGTCATTCTTTCTTGGTAGGCCACGCAGTGCAGATTATTTTATGCAAGAAGCCAAACGGATGAAACATAAAGCAGACGCTATGGTAAGGCTATTTTCTTTCCAGATAACGTTCTTCTGAATTATTTTTGTACTGAAACTTCATCATCAGTGCAATATAGCTAGGGTAATTATAAAATCTATTACAAGGATGGCTGGGTTTGTTAAATTAAGAAATGTTTATATAATCAAGTGCTCATAGCCCAATAAACTATGACTTCAGCCAATAATGTCTGACTGGGAGAGAGCCCTGTATAAATGAATATTTCAGTTTGTTCCTAAGGCTTAATTAGTAACTACTGCCAACAGAGCAGTAGGTAGTAGAATTTTTTTTTTCTTTTAAAAAAATTTTTAATCAAAATGTGCGTTTTTTTGTATTGTCATAAGGCAATAGGGTTTAGAGCTGTATGGGATCTTAAAGGTTATCTAGCCCAGTTGTTTCATTTTAGAGATGAGAAATGGATGGACAAATAAAGGGACATTAAAACATTCCTGATGAATGAAGACCAGAGTTAAATTGAATCTTTGAGATGCAAACACAAAATCAAGAGAAACCCCTAGAAAGGCCAACACATAGGAGCAACTGAAAGAGACTGTAAGATGAGGAAGTGTTTACATCCTAAGAGAGGGAAGAAACAATTGTCCCTTCTGAACCTTAGTGTTTTATAGAACAAAGTAAGACCAACAGAGACATCTAGGAATGGTTTTGGTCTGCTTTGATGATCTTCAGATAAGATAAAGAAAGAGGAGAAGAAAGGGGTTATATTACAGAAGGGAGGAACTTAATATTTTACATAATTCAGGTGTATGAGAAAAAAACTTTATGAAAGTGGAGAAAGGTTTCAAGGAAATAGGTATCACATGAATCTCACTTTCATCTGAACCAAGCAGAGTTAAGAACACATGCATGTATGTGCACATGCACACGCGCACGCGCACACACATACACTTACTCTCTCTCTTTCTAACACACTAAGAGTTTGGTGTAGAAGAACATCAGACTAAACAGAAACAAGAGGGAACAAGGAAAAGGAAGTAGGGTCTAAGAGGAAGGGTAGAATAAAGGAAGGATTAATCATAAGCAAAACAAACCATCATTAGAGTAAAGATACTAGAAGGATTAAAGGTAAAGAAAAAAGAGAATAAAAATCTATGATGTGAGTCTGGGTAAGCAGAAGAAAAAAGGAGTAGCAAACAACAAAAAATTCAGAGGATAGAGTGGAGGGAAATACACAGTTACGAATCATTACCATGAACATGAATTGAGTGAACTCATAAAACAGAAATGGATAACAAAATGGATTAGAAAACCGAATACAATAGAAAGTTGTTTATGAGAACTTGAAATAAAGATTCACATAGAGTTAAAATAGGGGGCTGGAGAGGAATGCATTATACTTCAATGAGTTTTTGTACCTCCTTTTCCATTTGGCCATTTCTACATTTTTTTTTCTTTTTTGCTTTTTTTGATGAGGCAGTTAGGGTTAAGTGACTTGCCTAGGGTCACACAGCTAGTAAGTATCAAGTGTCTGAAGCCAGATTTGACCTTGGGTCCTCCTGACTCCAAGGCTGGAGCTCTGTCCATTGCGCCACCTAGCTGTCCCTCCAGTTCTGCTTTTTAAGGACTTGTTTTCTCCAGTGGACTTTTTTTTCCATTTGGCCAATTGTATTGTTTTAAGGACTTATTTTCCGCAGTTAATTTTTGTCCTTCCTTTTCCAAGTTATTGACTCTGTCTTGCACACTTCTCATTTCTGTTCCCAGTTTTTCTTTTGCCTCTCTTATTTGACATTTAAAATCCTTCTTGAGCTCCTCCAAGAAGGCTTTTTGGCCTTGAGACCAGTTCGTATTCCCCTTTGATGTTTCAGATGCAGGTATATTGACAGTGTTGTCCTCTTCTGAATTTGTGCCTTGATCTTCTCTGTTCCCATAATAACATTCTGAGGTCATTGTCCGTTTCTGCTTTTTGCTCATGGTGTTTGCCTGTTTCTTGACTTTTTTTTATGCATCCTCTCCTGCTGGAGGGCAGGGGGCACTTACCCAAGCTTCTTGTCTGAGGAGCCCAGGAACTGGTCACTGGCTTTGTGTGCTAGGGCCTCAGGTGCTAGCAGTGGGAGGCTGTAGAGTTTCGGCTGCCAACCTGGTACTGGTCTAGGGTCAGCAATACTGGAGCTTTTGGGGTGTAGGTGGGGAGTCTGGCCCCTGGGGGATGCCTGCTTAACCAGGCCTTGCACTCCTTTCTTTGGCTCCTGTTCACCCAGGCCTTGCACAGGGATGTTTCGCTGGTGGAGGATGTCTATCAGCCTGGAGCTTTGCCTTCTGGAGTTGTACTTCCCAGAGTTGCTCTGAGAGGCACCAGGTGATTTGGCTGCTGGAGAATGCCATCGCACATGGTAGTTTTCTAAGCTGGTATCTACCTGTTCCTTTGCCTGTACTGAGGCACTCAGGGAGTACTGGTGTTGGCACTTGCCGGCTACACCACCCTGGGTCTCAAGATCTCACCCAGTATGCTGAGGTCAGGCTTGCTGCCAGCTTACTGGGATGCCGCCCATCTTCCCCAAGAGTGAGAGAGGCTTTTCTCATTAATCCCCCAAGCTTTCTGGGCTACAAGACTGCTGCACCCCATCTTTCTGCTGGCTCAGCTGTTCCAGGGTTTTTCCTGGAGTGATGTTTTCTGGGCTTTCAGAAGTCAATAAGGGAGGATGAGAGCAACTTACTTCTTAACTCCACCATCTTAGCCCCTGGAAGTGGAACTATACTTCAGGTAGGCTTTAAAAAGCAGGAGTAACAATCATAATCTCAGGGGCAGCTAGGTGGTGCAGTGGATAGAGCACTGGCCCTGGAGTCAAGAGGACCTGAGTTCAAATCTGGCCTCAGACACATAATACTCACTAGCTATGTGACTCTGGGCAACTCACTTAACCCCATCTGTTTCACACACACACAAAAAAGAATCATGATCTCAGATAGGGCAACAGAAAAAATAGACGTGAATGAAAGAGACAAAACAAGGAAATTACCTTTTGCCTAAAGATACCAGAGGCAATGGATTAATACCAATACTTTAATATATATATATATATATATATATATATATATGTATGTATGTATATATATGCACCAAATGGCAAACCAAATACTTAAATGTTAATCAGTTTACAGAGAGAAATATAAATAATTATTGGGGACAATTAATACCTCTTCCAGACTTAGACAAATCAAGCAAAATGACCAACCAGAAAAGAGTCAAGGATCTAAATGGGATTTTACAAAAGTAAGATATGAAAGCTCTGTGGTGATTACTGAATTAGAATAAAAAGGAGTATACGTGTTTCTCATCCATGCATGGCACTTTTGTAAAAATTTACCAGATATTGGGGCATAAAAACTTCACAATCAAATGCAGAAATACACAATTACTGAACATATCTTTTATTGACCAAAATGCAATAAAAGTCATATTCGATAAAGGGTCTTGGAAGAAAGGATCAGAAATTAATTGGAAACTGAATAACAATTCTAAGGAATTTGTAGGTCAAAATAACAACGTAAAGAAAAATGAAACAATAAGACAACATATCAAAATTTGGGGCATTTATCTAAAGGAGTTCTCGGGGTAAAGTTTATGAGACTGATCACATTACTCATTAAAAAAGAAATATCAGACTTGGATATGTAACTTAAAAAACTAGAGAACCAACAAATTTTAAAATCCAGATTGCACATCAGAAGATAAATTCTGAAAATCAAAGAAAATATTCACAGTATTAAAAGCAAAAAAAATTGATAAATAGAAAGGAAGCTGTTTTTAACAAAAATAGTTATTATGATTTTAAAAGAAAACCAGTTTACCAGTATCAGAATCACAACATGTGAAGAAATAACAGAAATTATTTAGAAACCACTTTGCCCAATTATATGCAAATAAAATTAAGTTTAAACGAATGAGGTGAATATTTACAAAAATATAAAATAGTACTAAAAATAGAGAATTTAAATAATATAATCACAGAAAGAAAAATTGAATCACAAATGAATTCCCAAAGAAAAAAAGACTTAAGACCAGCTAGACTCAGTTGATTTTACCAACCATTGAAAGAACAATTACTCTAATATAAATGATTTTCAAGAACAGGGAAAAAATGGTATTCTAGCAAGTACCTTCTATGATACAAATATGGTCATTCCTAAACCAGGAAGAGTCAAGATAGGGGGGAAAACTATAGCCCAGTATCTCTAGCGAATATCAAAACAAAAAAATTAAGTAAAATATTAGCAAAGAAGTCACTGTAATAACATGATAAATACTGTACTTTATGATTAGGTAAAATTTATGCCAGGAATGCAAAGTTTGCTCAATGTTAGTAAAACTAGTAATGACGGACTACATTTACAATGAAAAGAACAAAAATTAAAATCATATCAATAGATTAAGAAAAAGCTTTTGACAAAATTCAACACCCATTTCCTAAAAAAAAGAAAAGAAAAACACTAAACATCTGGGAATAAATGGACCTTACCCTTAATGTGGTAAATGTTTTCTTAATACTTAATGTTTACTTTAATGTTACTTAATGTTTACTTAAAGCCAAAAGCAATTTTATATGTATGGGGGTATTATATTATTATATGCATTGAATATGTATCGTATGTACTGAAGATAAACTAGATGCCTTTGCAGTTAGATCAGGAGTAAAGCAAAGATGTTCATGACCACCATTATTATTTATCATAGTGCTAGAAATTCTAGCTTTAGCAATTAGAGGCAAGAAAAAAACAAAAATATAAGCACAGGCAAAAAGAAAGCAAAATTATCACTTTTTTCAGAAGATGTGATAGTCTACATAGACAACCAGAGTCAACTAAAAAGGAAGACAGAAAACAAGCATTTATTAAGCACTTATTTTTTGCCAGGCACTGCACAGCATACTCATTAATTGAAACAGTTAACTTCATCACAGTAATAGGATATAAAGTAAGTCCACAAAAAGAATCAGCCTTCCTGTATATTACCAACAAATCCTAGAAGAAGGAGATAGAAAAAATCCATTAAAAACAACTACAGAATATATAAAATACTTAGGAATCCACCTACAAAAGAAACATACAGAAAGAATATGAATACAACACAAAATATTCTTTAAAGAAACAAAAATGTAAGTGGGGAAGTATTAACTGCTCATGATTGGGCCATGCTGGTAAAACAAGTACCAAAATGTATTTATTCAATGCCAAACTAATGAAACAATCAAAGAATTACTTTAGAGAGCCAGAAACAATAATAACAATTCCTTCGGAAGAACAAAAGATCAAGAATATCTAGGGAAATAGTGGGGAAAAGTTGGAAGGAAGGAGACTTAGCTGTACCAGATCTCAAACTATCCTACAAAGCAGTAATCATACAAACTATTTGGTGCTAGCTTAAAAAAAAAAAAAGATTAGGTATGTGATATACAAGAAAAAAAAAATCAAACAGTGAAACAGTGACCCAAAGACCATTACTACTTTGGTACAGACTTATTATTTGAAGAAAAAATTGCTAGAAAAACTGGAAAGCAATCTGACAGAATTTTAGCTTAGACCAAGGTCCCATCCCATACCATATTCCACAATAAGCTGCAAATAGTGTATGACCTCAACATAAAAGGTGACATCATAAATGAATTAGAGGAGTATGGAAGAAAATAATATTTTGCAGCTGTCAATAGGGAAGAGGTTCATAATCAGACAAAAGAAAGAGAATATCTTAGAAGATAAAATGGATAATTTTTGTTACAGAAAATTAAAGGTTTTGTACAAACAAAATAAATGTGTTCAAATTAGAAGGGGAAAAATCTCTAGCAGATTTCTCTGATAAAGGACTGATCTTCAAGATATATAAAGAAACTGATTCAAGACTATAAGAATGAGAGGTGTTCAGCAATTAACAAACGGTCAAAGGATATGAAAAAGCAGTTTTCTAAGAAAGAAATCAAAGCTATCAATATCCATATATGAAAAAATGCTCCAATTAAAGAAATGCATATTAAAATAACTCTGAAGTTCCACCTCACACCTATTAGATCAGCAAAAATGACCAAAAAAAAATAGCAATATTTGTAGACACTGGCAGAAAACAGGCACACTGTTATACACTTGGTAGAGCTGTAAATTGGCCTAGTCAGTCTATAAAGCAATTTGGAACCTTGCCCGCAAAGTCTCTAAACTCTGCAAAACCTTTGAACAGATGATTATATCTCCACCCATCTCCTCTGTGATCTTGTTCTATCAATCATCTCTCACAGAGTCACAGTAAAAGCTAATACATCTTAAGTTCAAATCCTGCTTCAGCTATTTAATGTGCTTGTGACTGAGAAAGTCATTCAGTTTACTGTGCCTTTAGCCTTTCTGGCCTTTGGTTTCCCCAGAATGGAAGTGTTACACTCTACAGTTGCACTCTCTGACCGCTGAGGTCACTTCCAGATCTAAATAGATCATCCCATGATCCCATCTTCCTATAAAATCATGCTTCCCTATCCTAAAGAACCCCTTTGCCTCCTTGAACTCACTCTTCACTTACCTCTATGGCCAGACTTCCAGGAAGAACCAGTCTATCCTCATTGCCTCCACTAACTCACCTTCTCCCTGTCTTCTTTTGACTTCTACAGAATTTGATTCTGTTGGCTACTTTCTCTTTCATTTCCTCACCTTTGGTTTCTCTTATGCTCTCTAATTGTTGTTTTCTTTTTATCTGATGTTCTTCTGTCTCCTTTGTTGCCTCATCCTTTTTCTCTGACCCCTTTATTACTTTCTCTTCTCTGCTCTTCCTTGGTGATCTCATCCACTTCTGTGGATTCATTTATCACCTTCCAAATTCCCAAATCTGTATCTTCTCTACCAACTTTTTCCTAGAGCTCACTGTGTATGTATCTCCCCAAACACATGCTTTTCACAAAAGTTCTTCAAGAGCAGGGTCTGGGGAGCAGCTAGGTGGAGCAGTGGATAGACCTGTGGCCTTAGAGTCAGGAGGACCGATTTCAAATCCAGTCTTAGATACATGACACTTACTAGCTGTGTGACCCTGGGCAAGTCACTTAACCCCAATTGCCACAACAACAACAAAAAAAAGCAGGGTCTATATCATATCAACCTTTATCTCTAAGGACCTAGGAAAAAAGCATCTGGAATGAATGAATGAAAAATCATTTATCAAGTGCTTACTGTATGACATGCACAGAGTTACTAATTAAAAGATAGTACACTCCCTACCCTCAAGGAGCTTATACTCTTAATAGGGAAAGACAACACATATTAGACAATGAGGAGTGTTTTGGTTTGGCAAGTGACATACTTGGCACATGGAGCCCTAGGGGAGTTGAGTGACCTCCCTTCCCAGTAGCAATGTCAAAATAGATTTGATTATGATTCCCAGAGGAAGAGGTGGAAATCAGGGTTGCAAGAAATAGAATAAAAGGGTCTTGGTACAGCAGATGGTAAGAGGCCTAAATGGAATGGGAAGCATGGCAAAGGCCAGCTAGATTTAGTAGGTTGTCTTGCACATATTAGATGCTTAATAAATCTTTGTTGAATTGAATTTGCTGTTGTTGAATTATGAATACTAAATAATTACTACCTGTTATATGCGTGAGGTACAACTCTGCATATAACCACTTGCTCATGTAACTAAAGCCAGTCACAATTTATGGAACATCTGTAGCAAAGAATGTTGTTTGAATTCATTTTACCACACATAATATTTATTTTACATATGCACCGTATGGATTATGCTGCCTGAGTGGTGAGAGTAAGCTGGTAAATTTTGTGCACTCTCCTATAGAACTGGATTTTGATGAATAGTAAGACTCAATTAAAAAGCCTAAAATATGACGATTTTTATTTGTATTGAGTTTGGTTTGAAGGGCTTACGTAGTGCCAAGATTTACCCCATTTATTAGTAGTTTTGTTTTGTGTTAGACTCTCACCTTGAATTTAGTGTTGCTTTCTCTCAGCCTCATTAACAAGACTTTTGAAACTCATAGGCGAGGTATCTCAATAAAGCGCATAAAATACTGTGAGAATGTTGGTTTTATAACTGTTCTTAAGGGAGACTATGTTTTTATTCTCTGCTTAGGTGGAAAAATTTGGAAAAGCTTTGAATTATGCTGAAGCAGCCTTGTCATTTATTGAGTGTGGAAATGCAATGGAGCAAGGCCCAATGGAATCTAAATCTCCCTATACAATGTACTCAGAAACAGTAGAACTCATCAGGTAAGGAATTAGAAAGCAATAATCACTCACCTGTATTTCTTATTTGATTGTGTGTGAGATACAAACACAAACCACTAGCCCTGTAACATCAGCCACACTGCAAAAAATAATGTTCTGTCCAAAAAATAACTCTTGATGGGTGCTAATGGTAACTACTGGGATTGAATAACTTGGAAGGGGCACAAATGGCAACAGGGATATGCTATAATTCATCTCTGAATGACTACCATTGGTAGACCCTGAGCGGAGTCATAGGAAAGGGTAGTAACCACTATTGCCCTGTTCCTAAGTATATACATCCATAACATCACATCTTACTGTCATAATGTGCTCATATCATTTCAGCACAGGAATCTCAGTGAAACCCCAGAATTTGAATTTCCTCTCTTTTATGTCCCCTACACCTCTAGCCAGAGTTGAGATACAGTGAGAAGATGGAACAGTTATCCTCCTTTGAATCAATCCATAGTCTAGCTGTACAATCATTATTCTTTTTCTAATGGTAACACTAAAAGATGTTTTGTGAAAAAGCATGTTATCCTTCATGATTTTTTATGTCAAAAGATGTAGCCTTAACTTTTCCTTTATGATTTTTAGTAGACCTCTATCAGTTAATTGATTAAAACTCTTGAATCTTCTTAATGTTTTTTGTCCTGTAATGACCAATTGTTCATAACCCAGTGTTTAAAGTACTACTTCATTGAAATTAGTGCCTTCTAACACACTAGCAACTTTCTAAAATTTAGCGAAAAGTTCAAATTCACTCTGTCAGTGTTATTTGTGATTTAACACTGATCATATCCCTATTTTTAGTCTCCATCTTTCTATATTCAAGATTCCTAATCATTTTAGAGTAATGGGCCTTTTAGCACTACAGAGGACCTTAGAAGGCCCCTAATCCAACTCTCTCACTTCACAGGTGAGGAAACAGAAGCCCGCATAGGTTATATGACTCAGTAGTCACACTGCTGGTAAATGGCAAGACTGAGACTAGTGTTCTTCCCACTACAGCATACCTTGGAAGCCATAATCTCTCTAATATACATTGACATAGAGGGGAAGTACTGTTATCAACTATATTTATATACTATATTCTATAAATACTTTTAGCCTTCATAATTGTCATTTCAGTATCAGAATACATAATCTTCAAAGACTATAGTTGTGTGAGATGGTATCACTTAGCTTTCAAAAAAAGTTAAATATGTCTAATAACCTAAGCACAGTGTTGATTTAGTGACTCCAGACCGTCCTGCTGCTTCAGTAGCACAATGTTGCCAAGATAATATGACAATAAAGCAGAACAGCAGAATGAAGTTCTCAAAATTAAAATAATTTTCAGGAATAAACTCTCATTCTAGAATTCTTTACGTTCCTTGCTGGAACTGTGGCCAGTATCACATGCATGGTATAATGAATAATTCATCATCATCATCATCATAGCAATAGCTAACATTTATATAACAGTATAAAGTTTGCAGACTGCTTTATATATATTATCTGACTTCATCCTCACAACAGATCTGTGAAGTAGGTGCTATTATTGTCCTCATCTTACAGATGGAGGAGGAAAGTAAGGCTGAGAAAAAATTAAATGATTTGCTCAGGGTCACAAAGCTGATCAAGCATCTGAGGCAGAATTTGAAGTCGGGTCTTGCTTACTTCAGGTCCAGCATTCTATCCACCTAACTGCCTAATTAAAGCCATTATCTAGATCAGGCTTGCACATGTTAGGGCCTGTGGCCGCTTACAGCCCACTTGCAGCACACCAAAGGATTTCCTCTACATACAAAGGATGGTTTCCTCTACATTTTCCTCTGAAATCCTTTGGTGTGCCACAAGCAGCCTGAGGCAGCCTCAAGTTGTGCCTGACCTAGATAATCCAGACTACAACACCAATTTCACTTTAAATATCTAGGCAACACAAATTTTAAAAAACTGACTTTAATGATATAGACAGGGAGTGTAATTCTTTCCTTCAAGTTTCTCAATAAATGTGGAAGTAGCTTGAAAGTTCTCTCAAAAAGTCTGCATGTTAATTGGATGTTTTATTGAGAAAAAATGAATAACCATGATTAGAGCAGCAAATGGAAGGACAGGCCATAAAAGCCAGCAGCTTCTCTTAGCAAACATCTGTAGAAGCAAAATATAGATTAAAATGCACCCAAGACATTTATACTGCTGTCAAAGTAAGAGCTCCAAACAAAGAAAAAAGAGGAAATCCAAACATTTATGTAAGTGTAAAAGATGAGGCTTCTCTTGGATGCAAGCCTGGAAGTACTGAGCACTGCCTCAGTCTTCAGTCAAGCTACCAAGCAGTTAAGCTGTCAATCAAAATTTGTAGCAATGGATATGTTACTGTTTACGTGGCTTTTTCTTGAAATAGCACTCCTAGCTATTGGTAGTATTTGAATTTGTATTATTAAAGAACAGAAAGTGGCTCGATGGACATAAAAATCATTCTTTTGTAGTCATCATAATGTAATGCCTGTTGATAATGGAGCCACCTCAGCCAGCTCGTAAGAAAGCAGTGGCAAACACTATGTATTACTCAAACACAAAGCATATTCTACAGTTTACATGGGATGATTATGTTTATTTCTTTTACTTTTTTTTAAAGGTATGCTATGAGACTAAAAACTCACTCAGGCCCAAATGCCACTCCAGAGGACAAACAATTAGCTGCATTGTGGTAGGTATATCATGATTCATTTGAAATCTCCAAACCTGTCAGTGGCTTTCTTTTAAACTGGTGCTAGAAACACAAGAAGAGGGTGCTTTCTGTCATGTTTCCTGACCCAAGAAAGTAGATCTTGCCTTGGAGGCTAGGGGATTCCTAGAAGCCATTCAAACTGCGATCCTTGAATGACTTACAAATGGCCTGAATTCTGCAGGTATGCCTGAGCAATTCATAATGATTGGTAGTTGACAGGTCAGGTTTAGTACATCAAGGTAATTAGTTTTTCAGCATTTGATGGGTCTGGATTTTTAATGACTTGTATACTAACCATGCCAATGTCCGTGTAATTTCTTTTGTGTTTAACATTTTAGGTGCAATCATAATAACTCATCTGCTGTTTTACATGTAGGATTAATGTAGCAGAACCAAGATACTGCTTTAAATTAAAGCTCATATTTGTACCAAAGTGAAGATCAGGTTCATTACATTTTTTTAAAAATGTATTGTAAATACAAAAACTAATAAAGTTTGAAAAGATTAATAAACTTTAAAAGGATGAAAAATAGTTAAACATTTAAAACGAGGGAGGAAATCTTAGAGAAAACTTTTAGCCCTTAACAAGGTAAAACAAAAGGAATTAACAAAGAAAATGTACTTGTTTGTGTTCCCTTTCAGTCCTCCCTGAAGTTGTTATACCTCTAATTCTGTTCTCCTTTTTCATTTTTTTTACATATCTATAATCAATGTGTATATACAAGTCTGGTTCTGCTCATTTAGTACTACATCATCTCATGTAAGTTTCTCCCTATGTGCTTTATACTTTTTGCGGTACTATAATATTCCTTTATGTTCTTATCGGATTACAGATACAGGGCTAGAAGGAACACACAGGCCACCTAGTCGAACCCACTCATGCTGCCTCTCCCCCTTGTCCTCTTCTCTTGCTCTCTTGAGATACACACACACACACACACATACGTGTGTGTGGGTATATATACTTATGTGTACATATACGTATGTATGTACACACATATGTATTCTTTAAAGTTCAGTAGATATTTTATCTCAGTGATGTGAGTACTCCATTACTCCCTGAGCGTCTTTTGTTCATCTTCCACAGATGGTTTCCTCAGTGTGCTGAGGGCCTTTCTCCAGGTCTCTAGATTTTGGGTAGATAACAGTAAAGCAAATGGCATGCCTCTTGTTTATCCCTCACTGTCACCCATTTATTCCTATCTGACCACCTTGTTTTCCAGTCTCACATCTGTACAGCTACTCATTGGTAATATGTTGGTGCCTACCACTTAACTCTCTGTTGCCTTTTGGGGACCCCACAACTTTAATTACTAAGAGACTGACATTCCATGACCAGCAGCCATATAGCATCACCAGAATACAACTATTTTTTTTTTAAAAAGTCCTTGTTTCAGCAAGAAATTTGAGGGATTTAAAAACACCATATAATTTCCCAAAATCAGTACAATCATTCTTCTCCTCCTGTTTGTCTCTGGGCCCAGAGCATTGGACATTCACAATATCTGTTTAAGTTACATATCTGAAAAGAACAGATTTATGAATTGTCTATCTAAATATTTCATAAGCATTGTTCATTCCCTTGATTTTTCATATGTCTGCATCATGATCGCTTTTCATTCAATTGAGTATTCATGTGGATAAATAGACCAAACCCTTCTGAGTGATTATTGATCTCATTTAGGAGGCTTTACATGATTCAGAGGTTTGATATGATAAATATATCACTCACAAACAGGCATACCTGGAGGACCTCATCATCTTAGAATGAAAACTCCTCTCAAGTAGTGATAGTTTTCATTCTTTGTATTTGTATTTGCAGTGCCAAGCACAGTGTCTGACACATAATTGACTGATCTATAGGGAATCCCTCTTGCATATATACTCTGTAGAGGACATGTGTCACGACAGTGGCAGACACCTTTGGGAGGCATGTTTCTTTGTTTTACACTTTGCTTGATCTCCGTCTTATTGTTATATCTTTTAATGAATCCTATATGATTTTGATATATGCATAGGAGACATTGTTAGAGGAGAGCCTTGAAGGAGGCATTTTGATCTACTGAAACAATATTTTGAAGTCAACAAACAATAAGGGGGGGGGTTGTATTATGCACATCTTTTAGTCTTTTATGGGACTGTGAAGATAAGGTCTTCTATAGAATATCATTTGCAAAAGTCTGATTATTCCCTTATCAAACCTTCATTAAACATAATCTCAATATAAGTAATTATTCTCATAAAGGTTTTGTGGACATCAAAAGCTGGCATATTAGACATTATTGAGATTTTCTTGATCACTTTTTGTTTTGTTTTTGAACTGGACTTCTGGTCACTGGTAAGGGGAATGCTCTCCAACGATACAAATCAGCACTTTCTCTGCAGCCTATAGTTTTACAGTTGCTATAGGTATTGAGATACTGTGTGACTTGCCAAAGGTTACATAGCCTGTGTATTTGACTCCAAGGCTAGCCCTCTATCCAAGTCACCTTTTTATATAAAGTCCAAGATCTTTTCCAAGCTTTGTTATTTTCTCTTCTTGATTAACTTCATAAGTGATTCCTCAGTATCCTTAAAATTAAATTGCAGACAGCATAGATCTCCTTTGTATAGGCTAATCCAACTGTTCTTTCCATCTGTATTCTTTAATGCCATTTCTACTTGCTCACATATAGTACATTGAGAATTGATATTAGAGTTTAAAGATGGTGGCTCCTCTCTCATTAATAGAGGAAGTAATTTGTTATAAAAATCTTTACAGATATTTTTCAGTTTTCCATTTATTTATTGCCCCTTTCAGTTTCATCCTTTAACATATAAGAATGATTTGGCTTCCTTAGGTCTGTCGCCAAATTTTCTGTAAACCTATTTTTTGCTCCTGCTGTTTCTCTTTTTTTTTTTTATGGAATGAAGCTATCCATAATCTTGCACTAGCCTTCACGATAATATTTTTAATTTTTTTAATTAATAAGCATTTATTTTCTTTTCCTCTCACCCTTCCCCACAGTGAAAATTTTTAAAAATTTAAAAATTTTTAAAAAAGGAAAAAACAAGACTTTTAGGATAGATAGGATAGATGAGCCAGATTCCCACATTAGCCATTTCTCAGAAATGTATGCCTCATTCTGAGTCTTTGAGTCCATCACGTGTCAGGAGGTGAGTGGCATGCTTCATCATTAGTCCACTTGAATTGGGTTGTTGGTCATTTCCAGGGCTCTTACAGATAGGTTTATATTCTAAATCAGTTGGCTTTTTATCTCTCTACCTAGCAAGATCAGTTATTTACTGGGTGACGTACTTTGTAGACGTATTTGGCCTCCTTATTGTAGCACTTGATTTATATTGCTTAAGTTTCATTAGGAAATTATAATAGTCTGTGTTGATGCTTATTATTTTCTGTGTTTCTTATTTCTTGGCATCAGTAACTTATTTGAATAGGTCACATAGAAGATGCCCCACTCGTATCTGAGGTCTTCTCCTTTATTAAAATATTTTCTTCCAAATTGATATTTACAGCATCAAATCTAATTTGATACTAATAAAATCAGAAATCCAACTGTAGATAGAAAACTAATTCAGAAATAACTCCTATGTCTGTAACCAATCATTTCCTGTCTGTTAAAAATGTATTCAATTTTTTATAATAATAGTTGGTGCTCTCCATGTCTAATACCTCCCTATTCTCCTCTTGAAGAAAATATTCCTCAGACATTGTCTAAGAATACTTCTTTACAATCTACAAGCCTTTGTCCTTTCTCTTCCCTTACTCCTGAACCACATTTTACTACCTTCTTTTTGTTTGCTAGCTTCCCTTATATCTACTTCTACATATTAAAGTGTATGTTGGTTTAGTTTGGAGGATGTCATCAAATGTTTCAGAGATTTTCACTATTTCTTCATTTTTCACAGCAGATGTTGACATATAACCTACAGCTATTTTCATGGTAATCTTTTTACAACTATTTATAGTAAGCATTTTAATCAAAATGATCAAATGTCCCATGAAATTATGTTTATTGTTGCATTTAGTTGCACAATAAAACCAGTTCCACCAACTCTATTGTTTATGCCTTTACAAGAAAAATCTGTGAAACATTTTTCTGTTTAGCTGCAACTTCCTTTTGTCTTCTGGTTTTGTTTATAGAGAGAATATCAAGACTGATAGGATTCATTTCCTCCAACAGTATGTCCATTCATTGGTCACTAGATAAAGAGCTTACATTTTAGGGTGGCAGTGGCTAACCTAAAAATAGTCTGGAACTTTGGTGATTCTTGGCATCTTCTGCCACTCTGCCACCATCATGACTAGACTTGCCAGAAGGACCCATTTTGTATTTTTCTTTGTTGCATAGGTTGCCATGGGCAAAAAAAATTAATTGCCAAGTGACTAGCTTAGCATGATGGGCCTCTCTGTCCCTAGTCTGGCCCTTGGAAAGCAGATTCAGTCTATTGCCAAGACCGTACTGAAAACCTTTCCAGAATAGTAAAAACCTGCCAGAGTTTTTGCTCTGTTGGCGTAGTCTTCAAAAACTCAGGCACTCCTGCTCACCACAACAAAGTGGCAGACTAGGGCTTTATGGAGTGAATAAATTAATGTGAAATAATTTATTCAGTCATTTTCCAGTTGTTGGACATACAGGTTGTTTTCAATTTTTTCCTATTCTAATAGGGCATATGTGAATGTCATTAAAGGTATAGACCCTCTTTATGATGTTCTTAGGATAAAGTCATAACAGGACAATTGTTAAGTTATGTTATGCTCAATTTTGTGACTCATTGCATACTGCCATTTTGCCAAAATGTTTGTCTGTAGCCGTCTATAGCCCTATCAGCTCTGTAGAATGCCATTTCCCCACAGCACTGCCAACTTTGTGTTGTTGGGGTTTTTTTGCTTTTTACAATTTTAGAGAGGGTGAAGTAGGATTTTTCTGGTTATCAGGAAATCTGAACATTTTTTCTTGTGGTTAATACTTTATAATTCCTCTTCATAAATTGTCTAATTTGTATCCTTTGACCAGTGCACCATTGAGGACTATATTAATGCTTGTAGAACTGTGGATCCATTCTTTATGAATTCTTTTTCACACCTTTCTCTGAGATACTTACTACAAGTATTTTCCCCAATCTGCTTATTTTCCCAATTTACTTATTCTTCATTAATTTAGACATACTGCTTTTTGTTGTTCAAAGTCCTTTTATTGTTGCATAATAAGATTCATTTGTCTTGTCTTTAATGATTTCTTCTATTTAGGTTCAACACATTTTGATAGTGAAATGATTTATTTTAAAAATGTTCACTAATATTCACCCTTAGTTTCCTTATTTGTAAGTTAAGGGAGTTGGTTTAAATGATCTCTAAGGTTTATTTCCAGCTCTAAAGTCCTATGTTTCTTTGTAGTGATATAACCATTGAACTAATACATTAGTTATTAATAATAATGATAAATCCTATGATCCTATGTAACAGATTACCGTCCCACTCATATGATTGCTATTAGCGGTGATAATAAAATCATACAGTCCTTTGTAGGGACTTAGTGCACAAATATGATCGCTATTAACAACAATGATAATGATGGTAACAATGATTCTTCCATCCTAACTTCACAGGGCATGTCACTTCAGATTCCTAAGTCATATTTAGGAGAAATTCCTAAGGAACCAAAATTATTCCATACTTTTTATAAACTTCAAAGTAATTTCCGCTGGCAGGTAGCTTATATGTACCATTTGTGGCCTACAAATCGAGGAAGCAGGCCACAAAATAAAAAGATCTGCGACTCTTTATGGACTGAGGGATCTCTAATATGTTCATGCAGGAAGATATTTCTGAATTGTGAATCTGATTGCCGAGATTTGCCTATAAATCTATACAACAATATATGATTGTGCTGTACTTGGTGTGCCAGTTAACACTAGAGCCACTTGATTTATAAAAATATAAAGAGAAAACAAACTAGATGTTGGGAGACAGGCACCAAAGAAAGTGCATGTTTCAGAGGAAAAAGCTGCTTATGTTCTTTTCCAGCTTTATGTAAACTCCTCCTAATTTTAATAAGAGTACTAGATTAATCATAAAGTGAGGAAAGAAGATTTGAAAGAAGGGGTTTTTTTCAGCAGAGCAGACTGAAAATCAGCCGGGCACCTAAGCCTGTGTTACAATGAGAAACGCGGGCATAAATTTCCTTGCATTGCTTAGTATTCAGGAGTTTGGTCCTCCTAGCCTGTAGCCTTCAACTCACTTCTTACAGGGAGATACTGACCTCTAGTGGTGTAAAAGGAAAACTGAGAGGCAATGGAAAGTCCCATTAGTCACACTCCCTAAAAAAGGGCTGTGAAGCTGATGAATGTATTTGTGATTTCAGTATCGTATTGAGCAATCGCACTGTAGATGTTTTCAAATTTAGATTTTTTTCTAAATGGTACATTTGACTTGGTGTTTCAGAACCTCAGTCTATAACTAATAAGTGCCTTGAAACAACTGAAATGTTTGAAGATGCTTTTCTAGTTTTGTCTGAGATTTAATGACCACTCTCAAGAAACTGATTTTCTCTTTTTGGGCTATAGTTATCGCTGTCTGGCTCTCCTGTATTGGCGGATGTTTCGACTCAAAAGGGACCATGCTGTAAAGTATTCAAAAGCACTTATTGACTATTTCAAGGTATTATCTTGCTTTGTAAATTGCTTGTAACTTTACCATGGATTTAGAAATATAGTATATTCAATATACTGTATATTGTTTAAAGACCCTGTTGAGGATAAATGTGATTAGATTGACAGAATCCATTGCTTTCAAGCAAATGACAATGTATTCCCTCAGTGTATGTATGAAACCAGTTTACCACAATCACAGAGTTTTAGGACTGAGGAGGCCTTGGAGAAGCCATCTAACATATTTTCTTATTTCAGGATGTTCCATACCTTCTCTCCCTATGATAACCAGTAGTATTCCTTAAACCCTCAAGAGAAAGAATACACCTAATAATCCCTGAATAACTCATTCTAGTATTTAGCCATCCTATCAGGACATTGTTACGTATAGCTAATTCAGGACTTCTTCTGCCCTTTAACCATATTTTCTCTTGTTTTCTCCTCAGTTTAGATAGAGGAAAGCTCACCATTCTCTGTAGCATAATCCTCTGCCATTTTTTACCTGTGTGATCTTGAGCAAATCATTTCATTCCTCTGTGCTTCAGTTTCCTTTCAAATGAGTGAGTTGGTCTAAATGAGCTTCAAGGCCCCTCCTTGCTCTAAAGCTATGATCCTGTGATCTTTCACATACTATGGCAACTGTTCCATTGTCTAGTTTCATTCATATCAGAGAACCCTATTGACTCATGTAGAGGCAACTCTTTAAGTCTCCTGTGAGAACAAAAAAAATGAAATATCCCACCTCCTAATCTTTCTCAGAGAGGACTCTTCAATCAATGAGGACTCCTCAAGACAGGTCAACGTTAGACAAGCAAGGTAGCTGGCGTGGAGGTAGAGCAGACTGCAGACTGTGTTCCTCAAGATACATATGGCAGTCCCAGCCAGGGACTCGCCGATCAGCACACACACCTCAGGAAGTTTAGGAGTCAGTTGTCATCCTCACTTCCCAGAAAGCCTGTTTTCTAGCTTCAGTAGGTAATTTTCTCATGCATGTCCTGGAGACCATGTGAACCAAATAGAAACAGTTGTATTCCTAGCTGGAAAAAAAAAAGATATTCTTTGCAGCTATCTTCTTGATAGCATTCAGCTGAATAGTTTATCCAAAATAGAGTAGAGAGTGTTCTGAGCCATGGTCAACTAAATATCATTTGTCTCAAATGAGAGGAGTACTGGAACCTACACAATATGTGTGTGGTCTTATTTTTGACTTTTGGAACAGGGGGTCAAAGTCACAAATGTGGTACATGTTTTGAATTTTGGTACCTAATAGGAAACTCTGAAAAGAGTAACCCTATTATTAAAGGGAAGAGTTCAGGTTTTTATGGTTAAATGTAAGCCCTGAGCATAATGAATAATTTCCCGGGGGCAGCTAGGTGGCGCAGTGGATAGAGCACCAGCCCTGGAGTCAAGAGGACCTGGTTTCAAATCTGGCCTCAGACGCATAGTACTTACTAGCTGTGTGGCCCTGCGCAAGTCACTTAACCCCATTGCCTAGCCAAAAAACAAACATAGAAAATTTCCCTGATGTATGATGACAGATTGTCTTTTTATTTGTCCATTGTCTCCAATCTGTCTTTAAGAATAAGTACAGAATAAGTACCATATTGAACATAAGACATGATTCTTCTCCTTTGGAAATGTATAATACAAAGCAGGTATTTACAATTAGAGATTATTGAAACATTGACTAAAATTCAGTAATCATAAAACCTTTGGGTAAAAATGATAGTATGGTGGAAAGAAATTCAGTTTCCTGATGCAAAGCTAACACTAAAAGATGATCTTTCTGTCCATACTCACTTCCCTTTAAAGCATGGGGCTTCAGTTTTTAGGATAGCTAGGAAGAATTAGGCATTTTCTTTCCTGCTTACCATCCTCCTTCATCTATTTCTGGTACCATGGAACTCTTCTGCTTAGGTTTATTACAGCCAAAGTATACTTTTAATAGCCTATATTGGGTGCCTAAATTTTAATAACTAGGAGAGAAAAACAAAGCAGATATATCCATTAATGCTAGATTAAGAAAAATGTCACTCTTGATTCTAGGAAAAAAAGTAATAGTGGCTCATCTATTAGGAGTTTTTTTCCCCTCATAAAAATAGCTTCATTTTTCTTAGTAAATGGTACAGTGTATAATTCTGTACTTGCATTTATATGGTACCTATTGCCATAGTCCCTCAGATTTCTAACAGATTATTTCGTGTAACTTTGAATAACACTACTCACATGAAGTAAAAATTCAGTCTCCATTTCATTAAGTGCTTCTGTGATACCTATTCTATACTTAGCTTTCCCTGATTTGCTAAATCAAAGCAACACTTCTCTCTGCAAAACCAAGATGATGCCTGTGCTTTGGACTCCAAAGAGGAAAAGTTCACATTGGCATCACAAAAACCATTTCCCCTCATAACAGTCCTACAGATTAACACCCAAGAAAGCATTATTAGTTGTAAAGTGTGTGTGTGTGTATGAAAAATATGTATATATATACACATATATTTAGGCATAGTAAAGTGTATGTGTGTGTGTGTGTGTGTGTGTAAATTTATTTATTTATTTATTTATTTATTTATTTAGGGATTGTCCATTTTACAACTTTTACTGGTAAATGCAAAACTTCTTTTCAATTTCTGGATATAAATGTTTGGCTTATGTAATGTGGTCTTCTTACCATATTAAAAAAAATCTAATTGCCCTATCTTTTAGGGAAGCATATTCAATAATGTGCTTCCAGAGTGAATGTAAAGCATATTCTTTATTCTTCTTTTTTTTTTAGTTCTTTTCTATCTCCGATTTCAATTTATTTTATTCTCTAAGTTTGCAAGGATGTGTTCTCCTGCTTCTCTCTTAAGAAAATTGAACCCTGAGTAAATCCACTTCTTGCCTCCACAGAATTCATCTAAAGCTGCCCAGGCCCCATCTCCATGGGGTGCCAGTGGAAAGTAAGTTGACTTTACTGACTGGAAACTAATTCTGCATGATCCTATGAAACTGCTTGTTAACATTCAAGTGCACCCAAGTATTGTCCTACATACTCCACCCCACACTTATCTCTCTTCAGTATTTTGCTTTCCAATCTTCTCTTGTGCAGGAGCACAGGAACTCCATCCCCCATGTCTCCCAGCCCTTCTCCAGTCAGCTCGGTGGGATCTCAGGGGAGTCTCTCAAGCACTAGCACCCCTTCGCCATCATCCATAATTAGCATTCCACATAGGATCCATCAGATGGCAGCCAACCATGTCAGCATCACCAACAGCATTCTGCACAGCTATGACTACTGGGAGATGGCAGACAACCTTGCCAAGGAGAATAGAGGTATGCAATATCAAAACGAAAAGAGGTGTAGTTGATTTATTGGTATGATATAAAGTTTAGCTGTCACAGTGCATTGTAAAGAATGCTAGAATGGGAGTCACAGGATTAGGGTTTGATTCCCAGCCTACCACCCACCACTTACTAGCATTAGAAAAAGCAGTGGAATTGTAGTTACAAGACCTGGCTAGAAGTCTCAGACCATCACCTGCCCTTGGTCAAGTCTCTTTTATCTCTGTGGTTCTTCATTGTTCTCATCTATAAAATGAGGATGATAATACATGCAAAATGACCCGTTTGTAAGAAAAGTACTTTGGAAACTTTAAGGCTCTATTGAAATGTCAGCTTTAGAGCCCTAGGGCAGTGTCAGCTATCATGATGATGATGAAGAACTTCAACATTAAGATGCTCACTGTGATAAGTTCCTGGACATAAAAACTCACGTGTCTATAGGGCCTTGAATGTTCAAAAGGGATTTCCTCACAGTAACCTTCTGATGTACGCAATAAGTATTATCCCCATATTACAAATGAGGAAACTAAGATTCAGAAATGCTAAATGACTTCCCAATAAATAGTAAATATTAGAGCCAAGATACAAATTCAGATCTCCAGAATGCTAGCCATTATACCATATTACCAGTGGAAAGTTTTTGTTGAAAGATTTTACTTCCTAATTGCCATTGTTTTTCTCAATCAAATTTGTTGTGTATCTAGTATGAAGAAAGTACTATGTATAGTTTCTGATGGGGTATATACAAAGAAGTAATAGTATCTGACATTAAGGAGTTTCCAGACTTAGAGGGAAGACAATATTAAGCAGCATACGTTAAGTAGCAAATGAATAATGTCCCAGACAACAAGTTCTTTGTGAGTTCAGAACAGAACTGGGGAATGGTGTGGTCATATGCGGCTTTATGGCTTCATGAAGGAGCTGGAATTTGAACTGGGCCTTGAAGGATCAGAAAATAAGGGCCAGTGATCTCTTTACATGTGGGAAAGCATTGTGAGATGAGATAAAGAGTTGAAAATCTTTTTAAAATTCTTGAGAAATAGTGAGTTACCATGGTTTCTGAAGGGATTCACATAGGGTAACAGTAGGAGATAAAGTTGGAGCCAGATTTGAGGAAATCATAGGATTTTAACATCGGAAGTGACTAAGAAGTGTTCTAACCTAAGGCAGCATCCCCCAGCAGTAGTCACTCACTCTCCATTTAAGCATTTCTAGTGGCAGGAAAAGCACTAACTTCTGCAGTAAGCCCATTCTAGTTTTGGACAGTTCTAATTTTTTTATATACTGGACACAAAAAATCTTACGTTGTTTCCAGTTCTGCCCTCTGCAGCTATGCTTTTGTGTAACTGTAGCTAATCTCCCTTCCACATGGACAGCTCTTTAAATATTTGAAAACAATCATAGCCTCCTCTATATCTTTTTTTCTCTAGGTTCAGTATCTCCTGCTCATTCAATTGTTTCTCAAGTGTTGGGGGTTCTAGACCCTTGTAGCACCCTGGTCGCTCTGCTATGGACACTCCAGTTTATCAGTGTCCCTCTTAAAATAAGTCACCTAGCCAAAACCGTACATAGTTCATCAAGGTGACCAATGTGCCACCAATAAATAGCACCTCCTATAATATAACTAAGCAGAAACAGCATAGTAATCTGGTGATGTTGGCAGCTAGGTGGTACAATGCATAGAACTTTTGACCTGGGTTAAGGAAGACCTGAGTTCAGTTAATAGCTCTATGACCCTGTACAAGTCACTTCTGCCACAGTTTTCTTAACTTTAAAGTGTAAATAATAATGGCATCTACCTCCCAGGGTGGTTGTGAGGATAAAATGAGATAATATTTGTGAAGTGCTTTACAAAAAACCTAAAGCAAAATAAATGCTAGTTATTATCGTTGTTATCATTACTATTGTTGTGTTGTCACAGGAGTCCTGCAGTCAGGAGAGAATTCAACTCCACAGTGACTCACTGTGACAGATAATATAATCCAGTATTTTCTACATACCTGTCTCACAAAGATGTGATGGAGAATTCAAGAAATGTCAGTAAATTGCTTTTACACCCCTACAGAGAAAAGAGTATTTATAATATTTGTGACATAAAATGAATGCCAGATCCATAGTTATACTCAAAGATTATATATATGTATGTATATGTTTGTATTTTTTAAAATTCCAACTTTGCTTAGCACCATTGGGCAGACTTCTTCGACATCAAATTAAAGGGGCATTCTGGCTGTGACCTAAGAAAAGAGTCAATTCCTACCTCCATTTTCCTGCCCCCTATCTGCAACCCCACTAGGAGCTGCTAAAATATAAAAATAAAATAAATGTGGCAGGTACCTTCCTTGCTCAAGCACTGAGTAAAGAAAATCAATTCAGAAATGACAAGGTTATTCCACAGCAAAGGAGAAAAGTCAGCTTCTCAACGGCATTCTATCATTATCCAGGGAGGTGATTATTCCCATAGCTTTATGGTTGCAGCAGAGCAAGGAGAGGTCCTGATGCCTGAGCTGTTGTATACCCAGTACATGCAAGGCATAAGAATAGGGAATGCTCACCACTTCAGTGACAAAGCTCAGATGAGGTATTTTATATCAGAAAGTCATTTCACCATCACTTCTGGAAATGGTTCTTGCTCTTCATAGAAACCGTCTTAACTTGAAATTCCAGTTCCTGCTCCTGTCTTCTTGTGTCCATCTCAGCTGTTAGAATTGCCATTTCCAAGCACCTTGATTCATGGCCTAGCCTTGTCTTGGATTTACAGTGATGCTTTGAAACCTGTATTTCTTTTACTAGATTGGCGGGGGAAGGGAAGGAAGACGTTTCACCCCAGGCCAACTGATTATCTTAGTCAGCATCTTATGTAGTACAAACTGCCTGTAACAGACAGTGTTCAAAAGCCAGTGCATTATTAACATTTTATCAATCACTTTCTTAAATCTAGACAATTAGCCACACAATAAATCAAGCCTGGATTTGTAGCTGTTTGCTGAGTTCTGTGGTGAAAATGTGCACCCTGAAAACTTAACAACTGGCTCCGGTTCATACTGACCCCAGCAATACCCTTGCACCTCTCTAAAGCTGGCTGAAGCACCTCATGACTTTCTGTAGGCTAGTGGATATGGAACAAGGAAGGCATGAAGACCCTGAGGCATCTAAGCCCTGTGATCATGCATCCAGTGTCACTGTGAGAGCTCTTCCTTCACAGGCGCTACTGCCCTCTGCACTCCAACTCTGTTCACTCTAATCCCTGCCAGTTTGACAGGTAAAGACAAAAACTACTAAGTGTGGCAGGAGCAGCTCACAGGTAAAGCCCCACATATGTCATGGAAGCACCACCTTGAGGACATTGAGCATCCCATCATCCCGACACTATAAGTATGTAAAACATCTTTGGAATGCTTGGGCAGTTCAATCAACATTAAATCCATTGGGCACTATTTTCTCTTAATTCGTTTTCACCATCACCTCCATTCCTGGCCATCACAATATGCGGGCAAACATGCTTTTACAGAAAACAGAATTTGGGTACCAAGTGTATCCGATCGTCAGGGCCTCCCACAAACTCTCTTGCCAGGTGTACCTGAACAGATCAGGCAGCACTAGGATCAGGGACTGGTTGCTTATATTCTGTCCTAAATGTCCACTTTCTAGGCCAGCTTAACACCTGTAGCTGAATAAAGGTCAATCTCTGATGTATTCCTATACTTTGATCACTCATGTATCCTCCTCAATAAGCAGGATTCCACCTTTGCCACAGTGGCTCATCATAAGGCTACTAGGCCCTGTTGTATATCTTACGTACAGTCACCTTTGACTTTTGATAGAAATTATTCTGATGAAACACCTTCAGGCATGTCTAGTCTTGTAAATTATGTACTCTGGCCAGTGACTTCAGTGGCAGGGGGAGGGCAGGGTTGGTAGGTTTGTTGCAAACCCTGCCAATTCTCTTCTTTCTCTGGGTGATGGTAACACTGGATTTTATCTATCCTCACTCAAGAAATACAATCCCAGGGGAAGCTAGGTGGTGCAGTGGATAGAGCACCAGCCCTGGATTCAGGAAGGTCTGAGTTCAAATCTGGCCTCAGACACTTGACACTTACTAGCTGTGTGACTCTGGGCAAGTCACTTCACCCTATTGCCTCGCAAAAAAAAAAAAAGAGAAAACAAAAAGAAAAGAAATACAATCCTGTTTTGTTAGTGGTAGACTCTTTGGCCAACATGGCTTAATTTCTCCCCCAAAGTGAACATCCCATTACAACTGAGGCTACCAACCTGTTCCTGAAAGAAATTGACTAGTTCCACAGCCTTCCCTCTCACCTCACTCTGTGTCAGTTCTGGATTGTACTTTTGTTTGCCCCCAGTTAAAGATTCACCTTTCCATGATACTATTCCTTAATTTGACATGAATAACAGATCTGTGAACAATTTCTTAGATGGCAATACCTCCTGTAGAATAACTACAAATAGCTCTATTTCCCACCTCAGATTTTTTGTGACAGTAATTTGGTCCATTCATTTCTTCCTTCATTCAAGAACGTACCCTTTTTTGCAAACTATGATTTACATCTTCAAGTTTGCCTGAAACTCCTCACACATACTACAGTCCCTGTCTTTAATAACTACCTGAGAGAGCCAGAGGCTGGTACAGTAGAGTGGCTTATAAACAGAGTGGCTTCCAGCAACATTATCTCACCATTCCATGGCCTCAGGGGCCAGGGAGATGTTTAGGGTAAGGCTGATGACCTTCCCACTGCTTCGCAGATGTATTGGAGGAAAGAGAGGGAGATGCCAGCATCTAGCCCAGCATAATAGAAAGGACAAGGTAAGAAATATCACCCCAATTAAAGAAGGGCAGAGACATAAAAAAGCAAAGGGTAGCAGTTACATTTCTGTGCTGGTATGCTGCCACATCTCTATGGAGACCTACCTGGTTTTAGATCCTCTCTCTGACTCCTGGCTTCCCAGTTCCAACTCTGCCCTTCGGATTTGATGTACCCAAGAATTCCAGATCCTGACTCATCCTGACTTTTGATTTACACTTGTATTTTAGTTTAGACCTCATCCCTTTTTCCCCATGAGGGGGCTCTAATCTCTTTCTTGCATTGGGTGCCCTATGGGAGATTCAACAATTATCACTCCTTAGAATAATGATGATAACAGTAATACTATCAACTAGCATTTATATAGCGCTTTAAGGTTTGCAAAGGGCTATACATGTTATTTCATTTGATCCTTACAGCAACCCTGGGAGGTAGTATTATTATCCTCATTTTACAGATGAGGAAACTGAGGTAGAGAGGAGTGAAATAACTCGTCCAAGGTAACACAGCTAGTAAGTATCTAAGGAGTTGAACTCAGGGCTTCTGGACTGTAAGCCAAATACTTGTACCACCTAGGTACCTTGCTTAAGGGACTGAAGGAAAATGATAGATGAAAACTGTTTGGTGTATCAGGAGAGTTAAAGGTCATGACAGTATCATTAGGGTGTTTTTCCTACCTACATAAAAGCTACCTAACGGCCTTCACGTCTAACTTTGCCTTACTAGTATTTGTATTTTTATTAAATGATACAGCATCAGTTTTGACATGCTAGCTAAAAAAGTCAAAAGTAATATGTGGGCTGCATTAATAGAAGCATGATAAACAGAACAAGGGAGATTATAGCCTCATTGCCTTCTGACTTTTGTCACCTGTTAAGTTCCACATTTTAGGAAAGCCATTTATAAACTAGAGTATGTACAAACTAGGAGAGAGTTTGGAAATTGGAAAACACAGCATGTGAAGATTAATCAAAGGAGGGGCAGCTGTGGATAGAGTGGATAGAGCACTAGCCCTGAAGTCAGGAGGACGTGAGTTCAGATTCAGCCTCAGACCAAACACTTGTCACTTACTAGCTGTGTGACCCTGGGGCAAGTCACTTAACCCCAATTGCCTAAAAAAAAAAGATTAATCAAAGAACTGCGGAAACAAAAACTTAGGGTTTAGGATAACTTCTGTTGCATATTTGAAGGATTGTCCTGTGGAAGAGATATTATTAGCTTTATTTTGCTTGTTCCCAGAATAGTATCTGCAGAAAAATTGCAGATACACAGATTTCGGCTTAATAGAAAGAACAACTTCTTGACAATGAAGAGTTGTCCAAAAGTCAAATGAGCTGCCTCAGTAATTAGTGAATTCCTTACAAGTGGAAGTCAGGTGGTAGCTGGATGACTACTCGTCAAGGGCATGGCAGGGAAGGTGTCTGTTCAGTTTATGGATTGTACTAGATGACGTCTCAGATCCCTTCCAATTCTGGAATTCTGTAAGGGTGAAACTTTTTCCCAAATAAGGGTCTACTTAAGTCTCTGTTTTTGTTCTTTAAAGGTTATTCTTATTGCAAAGGATATTTTCTTGGGTTAAGAAAGAGAAGCTGAAGGAGCAAGACATCAGCCTCCCAAAGAAATACCCAATATCAGAAGGTGTCTTCAGTGGCACACCGAGGCAGAGAAAATGAAAATTTAAATAGGGATACTATCACAGCCATCTTCCGCCAACCATGAGTCCAAGGATGAGGGCAATCCCACCTCTTCCTGCTGTGCTCCCATCCCTGGTTCAGCTGTGGTCACTCTCCTGCCTGCGTGGTCCTTTTCCTCCATTCTCAGAAGTTGACTGGGTAACCATTTAAAAACATGGTACCAACACCAACGACACAAAAGTATTATGAGAAACATTGCTACTTCCTTAGACCACATGTTCAAAAGAGCACAAAACAATCAAACACCAACCAGGGCACAGACTGAGAGATTAGAGTGCTGGAAAATCTCATTTACTTTGTTTGATCCAGAAACGTCTCATGTTATGATTTGTAGGCCTTCTAGATAATCTATTAATGTGGAATCCTTTAATCTCTTCTCTTCCATTCCCCTTTTTCCAGCTTTCCATCTTTTTTTCCTTTTCCTGATATTTGTGGTTGTAACATGAATGGAACAGAATCCTTGATGAACAGAATCCTTGATGAACAGAAGCCATGAGTGATTTTTTTTCCCCAAGTTGTTCTGTGTGATTTCATTCACAGATGTGACTGGATTCCCTTTTAATAATGACTATTTCTTTTCCCTAGAGTTCTTTAATGATCTGGATTTGCTGATGGGGCCCGTCACCCTGCATAGCAGTATGGAACACCTAGTTCAGTACTCCCAGCAAGGACTGCATTGGCTGCGAAATAGTGTTCACTCGTCATAGTGATTGCGTGCCATTTAGCCGGACTGTGTAATAATCTCCTATGGACTGTTCAATTATTCTGGACACTGTGCTACCGAAATTCTCAGTCACAGCATTTATCCAAATGAAGGTGAATATTTCTTCAGCATCGAACAATGATATTTTTCTAGGGCGTGTGTGTGTGTGTGTGTGTGGGTGTGTGTATTTGTAAGTGTGGGTGTGTGTATTTGTAAGTGTGGGTGTGTCTGAGGTTGTCTGTGTATATTTGTAAAATATATCCAGCTCTTCAGAATTCATCTTCTCCTCCTGTAGTCTCCATAACGTTAGGATAGGCAGAAGTGATCAGAGGTATCTGATTAGGGATGATGCACACATACATACATACATACATACATACACACACACACACACACACACACACACACACACACACACACACACACACACACACACACACACCCATTTGCTTTCTATTTCAATATTATACCTTGGATTCTTAGAAAATTCAGCCAAAATCTCATGGGTTAGTTAATCAAGTGCAATAAAGCACATTAAAAGCTTGACTGCCAGTTTAGATGCTCCTAGAACATACGTTATTGATCTTTTTTTTCAGTCTTAATATACTATCTTCCCCCTAACTTGCAGATTGGTGTGAGTTGATGAGTAATTGAAAAATGGAGTTGAATGTGTTATTTTTTGTGCAGGAAGTTTCAGTGGATTTCATGTTACCTTAATTATTGCTCTTTTCTATTAAAACTTCACCTGTCTTTCAGCCTTATTATCACCTAAAAAATACAACAGTAAGCAAAAGAGATTTTTCCTAATTACCTTCCTCTTCCTTTCCCTGCCCCCCCCCCAATTAGAGTGGTAGCAATGGCACTGAAATGAACAAAAGAAAAAAAATCCAACGGTTTGGAACCTAAATGGATATTAAAAACAGGTAGCAAAGTTTTGCAGCTGAAAAGCAGAATTCATTTACACAGGTGACATCAGACACACATATACATGCATTTTCAATTCTGTCTCTTTTATAATGGCCATATGGAGCAATGTCTTATCTAACTGCCAGAAATTTAAAGTCTTTTCCATGATAGCTTTCTTGCAAATGTAGGCCAAATCGAGACATAACCTAGACTGTCTCCTTACCAAAAGTCTGGGTTTGCTGCTTATCATGCTAAGAACCATTTACTATAATAATTCCATATAATCCTCTCACTCTTCTTGCATAATCCACTAGTGCAAGGCTTTAATATTTCTTGATTTGGGAAACATTTCCAGTCACTGTTGACAAGCTGCCTTTTATTGAGGAGAGGACTGAGGGGTGGTATTAATCCTGCAACAAAAACTACGGTTTTGTTTGGGTCAACAGAGATCAATGCCTATTTGTATCATCTGTAGTAAGTCATGTGCATACTTCCCTTTGCCATCAGTGCTTTTCTGTTTATTGTTAGCTTTATGTTCACTCTTTTGACATCTTTTATTATTTTCAGTTTTCATTGGAAATACAGCCTTAATCAGATTTTGTCACTTCTAATTTGAGCTTTGGAGTTGAGAAAATGTCCCAGGGGAAAAAAAAACCTTTGGGTCATAAAAAATAGCCATATCTTTCCAAAGCCTAACATGTCCAAACTCTGTGTATGTGTATGTGTATACACATATAAACATATACATATATGTGTGTTTATACATGTATGTATTTTATATCTGTATAACGTATCCTACTAATTAGCACCATTGCATACATATCAGTTCACCCTAAGGAAGGGATATGATACAGTATGTTGCTTAAACTATTTCAAGGCAGTAGAGCTAAAAGGGATTTGGAAGAGATGTTGATGTACACCCAGCCTCTAGGTACTGATGTTCTCATTCCTTTGGCTGTGGCATGTTTCCCACTTTTCAGCCTGATATTTACTTGGAAAGTCAAGTCCACCAAAATTCCTTAGCTCTATTTACTGGTTTCAAGTTGTGTGAATGCTAGAGCTGTCTTGGTAATGATTTTGAAGTTAATTCGGAAGTTTGTGCCTCAGTAAGTGAGGGGCTTATTACCAAACTTTTCTTGGGCTTTTGTCTCAGGTTGTTTGGGTTATATTAACTCAGTATTATTTTTTTCAATGTTCATTTCACCTTTGTGCTGCATAAGATTTTCTTTATCGGTACCTTTGACCTATTGGCACATCTCTACAATTTTCTCCTCTTTTGGAAACTTTAGTTGCATATGTAGAATTTAGAGTCACACATTTTTTTTTAATCCTTATGAATTCTGAAGAAAGGTTAGACCGCTCTCATACAGAGTGTTCCATAGAGATGCTTTGCAATTCAGGATAACTGAATACTCTTCTATGATGCTGTAACATAACTTGCATCACAGATATCTCTGCTAAGTCTTTTTAAGTTATGTACGTTTTGTTTTGTTTCTGGTAAACCCCCAATCTAATCATGAAACGGAATTAAATGAGGGAGTATACTTAGACTAATTATGTTAACAACATTTTGGTTGGTGACTTGGAAATCATTATTTCAAATAAGGCTTTTAACAGTGGGTCATTTTGGTGATGATCAGAGTAGATGATTCTATCACAGGTGTTTGTTTCCTGTGCCCTGAATGGTGAGGCAAGAGCATCTGTTTCATTTGGAAACAGAAGAACTGTGACAAAAGAAAATTTTAGTGACTGGTCTCTTGACTGCTGTTTTTTGTAAAAGTCATTCCTATCCTATCCTTTTTCATTCTTTTAATTTTCTATATATCTTTGCATTTGACCTCTTTTTAATTTTGAAGACAAATTCTGTTCTCAGGAACCAAATATGGGCTTGATTGAGGTCAAGCCCTCTACAACTTTAATAAGAGTTTGTCCTTAATCACAATGGTAGAATTACCTTCAAATGGGATTAATCCAAACGTACCCAACGCCAAAATCTGGCATTTGTTATACATTCCTTATGAAATATGTTGATTAGATATGCCTTCGCAAATAAGACTCGTGTAGAATTATGCAAAGAGAGAGAGATTTGGTTAAAAGAAACATACTTCTTAATATCATAGATAGGAACTCAGTCCCACAAAATGAAGGAGATGGAATAAAAAAAAAGTTGAAGTGCTTTCAAATTCTTTACCACATGTAAGCACATGAAATGCAATACAAGGAAACTTTCTGCACTAAAAATCAATTATCATATTTATAACAATTATATATGCATTGCATCATGATGTGTACATTTCTGGCACTTCATACATAATATACAGTTTGTATAAATGAATACATTTAAATATATGTATACAATACAGCTAAACCATAAAAATGTAGTCAGCCTGAAGGATATTACTAGTGCCTAAATATTGAGTACATGTCACTGGATGTTCATTTCACCTTGGAAGTGCAGTAATTGTTACAAAACTAATTAGTGCAGCTAATCATAATTTAAGATTACATCTTTGAAACTGTGCAGTAGTATTTATGTATAATATATATGAAGTATATATACACATGTATACATGTATATTTTTAAATAACATTTTTCCACAGTTTTCACAGTTTTTTCCAGAGCTACTGTTAAAAAAAATCTATATTACACAAAAAAAAGCAGAATTTTTTTTTCCTAAGGAAGTAGACACTCTGCACACCCAGTTAACATTGTGGTTTATCTGTTTCTAGATACCCAAGAGACTTTAGCAGTCACCAGCCTTAATGCATGTACAGAATATTCTTGTGATTTATCTGTTTTTTTTTTTAATCCTCATGAAATTGGAATTTATAAACATGTCTGCCTTTCTGAGGTTGCAGATGTTACATTAAGCGATTTATGCTGTAAAATGGGAGAAGTTGAATTGTAAGTAAAGAAAATCAACTGAATTCCATAAATTTTTATAAGAAAAATTCAAAATTGAAATTTTTTCAAATCAATATCTTTCATTCATGAAGCATCCTTTTTATGCATATTTTTATTGAATACCCACTAGATAATTAGCATAATATGCCTAATTCTTGATGCAAAGATATATATTCTCTTCATGAATTCTACCATTCCTTCCTTATGCTGCCCCTCCAAGCCTTCTACAGGCCCACTAAACATACGCACACACATACAATATAGACACATGCGTAATTCACCAGAGAACTGTCCAAAAGAAACAAAAGGCCTCCAAAATGCATGTTAACATGTGTATTTTTGAGTCTGATGTAGATTGATTTATCCCTGAAGTACTAGCTAGTTATCTCATGTTAGTGCTGAAACGAGGTGTCTGAGCTCATCTTAAGCTGAAGGAGCAATTGACTTGACTTGCAGTGTGCCATTTTCCAACTTCTGGCACCATTGTACTTGTGCTAGCCTTTAAAAAAAAAACTGAATGTGAACTTTTAATTGAAGAAAATGCAGGTATTAGAACAGTGACTTGGCATGCTATGTCCTCCTGTGTAGGAAAAAGAACTTTAAAAAAAATTACCTCTTAAGGCTCTCCCTTCAGAAACCTCTCTTTCTACCTTTGTCCATTTCAACAGAGTTATTTCAAGCCCTTTCACTTTTTGTCCTGCCATACTTCTTTGAGCTGTTCACAAATATCTGGCCAAAAAGTAGCAGTGGATGACTTTCCGAGGTTACATTCAGCTAGTTAGATTGGTTCAGTTAATTCCTCAGCAGGACCCTGGGCGCACTGACCATGAAGGACTGGGTCATTCTCCGAAAGAGAAAGAAGAGAATACTTTGCATTCTTTGCACTAGAGATCTTCCAATGAGGAGGTATTCTTCGGAGATAATGTGTCCTTTGGACAGTGGTCTTTCCCACCTTGGATTAAACTTGATTGAGGGCTAAACTCCAACAGAATCACTTTTTGTTTTGCAGCGCTTCCATTTTAACTGAAACTTGGAACCAGTGGAGATTCACAAAACGTTAAAAGAAAAGTGAAAACCAGTAATAAATAAAACTGAATTTCAAATTTGGGGTCAGTTCTTCTATTTTCTCATGTGCCCATTTCTAAGAAACAGTAGCTTTTAAATCTTAATAAATTGTTCTGGCTAATGGCATAGGAATCATTTAGGCTTCTGATTCATTTTCCCCTTTGTCCATACTGAAATATTCTGCTGTCAGATAGACTACACTTGTTTGTTTGACATAAGGAAAATTATAAAAACTACCCTCTCTAACTAATTGCATGTGACCATGGTTCATTTTTATAATTAATTGATACCGTTAGTCCACTGAGGGGAGAGGTACAGTGTTGATGGGATGCAGAGGGATTTAACATCACAGCTCTCACTCACACTAATGGGAATCAAGGGATTAAATCCCCATGTATTAAGTTGACAATTTACCTCTTACAGCCAATTTTAAGATGCATTGATCTGAGGAATGAATGCAAGACAGTAATTATTAGTGAGCACTGGGCCCAGCTGTAGTGTTTAATTGTCAGTAAGTATTGATGAGGTCTAAAAAACTAAATAATAGCCTGTTTATTTTATATGGCAAAAAATCATTTTTGTTTCTAGAGATGATTCTAAACTTTGGAAGTTTTGTAGACCTTGATAGAAAATGTAAGGTTTTTAGTTTCTTTATTATTCCTTACCAACTGTGTGACCCTGGACAAGTTACACACAACGTCTCAGTGCTTCAGTTTCCTCATTTGTAAAATTAGAGGGTTAAACACTGGATTCTAAAATCCCTTTCACCATTATATCAGTAATCATTAATTTTTTTTTCAGTTTTCCATAAGGTAAAAATTGCTGTTTTCCCCTGGAATGGGGAACGTTCTGGATACTCAAAACTAAGCAAACTAGGAAGAAAAGGGAAAAAAAATGATATCCAGAGATGTGCCTCTGGAGACTATCTTTCTGGATTGTGTTTTATTCACTGTGGCTAAAGATAATTTAGCTTTTAAAGAAATTCTTTGTATCCTTTTTGTCATCTTACCCCAGCAGTATACAAATCACTACAAAGCCAGGGCATGGCTCTGTAAGTTATGATGGCAATAATCCTATGCATAAACACTCCCCCCCCCCCGAGTCTTTAGTTAGAGAAACTATTGTAGCATCACCAAAGTCTTCACAAATACACAGAGGCATATTTGTGTAGTAAAATATAAATATTAACTCTTCAGCAATTTGCATACTATTTAATAATTCCTTGCAATTTCTAGAGTAGTAAGCTCAGACCAAATGTCCTTATCTGTGACCCGCATTGTTCCTTTGTCTTTTTCCCCCCATGCAGTACTCAAGACGTAACAGATTCAGCATGTTGACTTTTCAGTAGGGCAGAGTTAAATCACGGTGGGCCACCGAGGAAGCAAAATTGTAGTGCATAAGTGGAAGAAGTGTAACCCCTAATCCCAGCCCTGCTACTGCTCTGTTGTATGTGGCCTTGAGCAAAGCTGCTTCTCCATACCTCAGTTTCTCCCTTGGTAAATGAGGTTCCCAACACCACCTACCTACCTCACTGAGACAACATGTGAATCAAAGGTTTGTTCATGTACTTTGAGATCCCAAGTTACCAAGTGCTCAGGAGGTATTAATGCAGTTACTATGGCAGCAGCACTCATAAAGAATATTCAGTACATCTGCAAACTCCCATATTCAAACCTGTGGGAATCACGAGATTTAAAAACCATACTCCTTACTGATAACCTTTTAAGAAAAATTCCCAGCCTCAACTTCAATGCAGAAAGCTAGAAACTGAGGGTGACTAGAATAATCTTATACTGGAGAGAAGGGAAATACAGGCTCCCAAGGCTGGGAAATTTTCCCTCTGGACAGTAGGTAAAGGAGATAGATGTTACCTTTGTTGCTACCCTGTTTCTAGCCATGTGCAGAGTACTAATTAGCAAACAAGAGTGTGTGTACTCTCTTTGCCAGGTGTATCAGGGTTGCTAAGTAACTTATGGTTGGTGACTTAGTCTCCACCCTCCTGTGACCCATACTTATTTTTCATTGTTTGGCCTTGGGAAATATGAGATCATCTTGCTGAAAAGAGGAAGAATCTTCCTCAACTTACTACTTCCCACCACCTCCCCACAAGTAGGAAAATAAACCACTGAAAATCTTGCTTCAGACATTTGCAGTAGGGTCTAAGTGGTTGCTGCTGAGCCTAATCTCAGAATGGGCACTGTTTTCATACTCATTTAGTAATGTGAACCTTTTCTGATCTTTCTCCCTATAGCCTTTAACACTATGGGACTGAATAAGAACAATAAGATTCACATACCTTTTTTTCCTTCTGAGGGCAAAATGCGTCTGAAAATCTGCTGCAAGGGCTTGGTCTGAGGGTAAGATCTACAAGCGTAGGGTTTGGGTCTGTCCTAAGCTTAGGAAAAGAAAAACCTTTCTTATTATAAAGATAAAAATAATTTCCAGTAGACTAAGAGGGGCCCCTTCAGATGGTCAGGTTAATTATGGACCAATCATTTGTCAATACAAGGTGAAGAAAAAAGTGTATTATACTAGGTTTGTCCAGGCCATCAGATGCTTAGCATATTTATACAGTACCAAATATCTGGATGAAAACTAGAACATGCAGGTCATCACTGGGGATTTTGTGTCATGGAAATTGGTTACATAAATGATAAAATGAAATTTTCATCTAATATTGGGTGTCATTTAGATACAACATCAGTCCAGTTGCCAATTGTCTGTATACCCTTGGCCTTGGAGCTTACCAAGAAACTTAATAAACTAATGACTGTGAATATCAGAACTTCCCCTTTTGGTGCCACTAGGAATAACTTTGTCAGCCATCTCTCTCCTGAGGCCACTGAAAATGTCCATGGATGTAATCTCCTACAAAAACTCTGCCTAATTAAGTAAACCCGGAGACAAAGTGAAGCTTTTGGGGGGTTAATCCACACTCCTGGCAAGTGCGTATGGTGGCTATTTGAATGAGATTCTCCAATATGATTGCACTAGCTGCATTAAAACCCATCATAATAAAGTGTAACTGCTAATAACGTGGGTTTCATTACTCACAGCATCTTTTTTTCTGCTACCAGAGCATTAGTAAACATTTCTTCCTACAGTAACTCTCAGTAGTTGCAGGAAGCTTTCAGGGGTAGGTGTTGGATTTGCTCATCTGTAGGATCAAGTTGTTGAAATCCTATTTAATTTGCATCACCTCATGAAGGAACATAAAAATTCCATAGTTATGTCAATATTTATTCATAGAGCAGGCAATAGTAACATAACACAAAGATATCAAGGTTCATGTTCTGGCCTTCTGGGTTTCATCAAATTCCATCCAATTCCTTACCATTACATAGCATTTCACATTCTTGGCTTTCTGGAAGCCACTGGCCACTAAGGAACTCAACTCATTTCCAACTAGATTTTTCCAGTGATCCAGACTTTAGTCTCTACAATACCAAATTATAGACTCTTCACTTGCCCCTTACTTACAGGAATTGGTCATAGTGATTGTAGAATTGAATGATTTTTTTAAAATGGGACTATTCTGTACAGTAATTTATGCTGTAAAAAATGTACATATTATCATTGTAGCACTGATGAATGATTTGAAGTGCTGTATTTATTAGGTCAGTTGCCATTTTCATTTTGTCTGTTCATCCTATATTAAGATAACTTAATTTTATTTTTGTTACATGAGATTCATTTAGGGGCTATTTGTTATTGCATTTGGACCCTATAACAAAGACAGCTCAGAATTTATGTTGATACACAGTGGCTATTTTAATTGAAATAGGTGTGATGATTTCACTATGCATCAGAATGGGAAATTATATTACTAATGATGGTCAAAATCATATGCTTTCATCCAAGTACTTCAGTTAATACGAGCAAAGTGATTACTAGATGCCATGAATGCAGACCAGTGACTTTGATGAGGTTCACTCTTTTATTTCCTTCTCAGAACTCGTGAACTGTTCATTCTAAAGGAAATGACAGTCGATACATAGTAAACAAGTCCAGTCATTTCCTCATGACTTGTTCTTCCTCCCTGGACTTCTTCCTAGAAGTTTGGAATGCAAGGACCTGTAGGGCTTGAACTTGGTGGTTGTTCATATCTGCCTAATTCAGCATAAACGTGAAATCCTCTTTTTTTCTTCTCCTTCTCTCCTTTCAGTAAAAGGGCAGAAAATAAATTTGGTGTCTATACACAGCTGTATTTGTCTCATTCTAAACAAACAGAACCCCCAAAGCCAAGTGCATATGTTCCAATGGCAGAAGCTTTAGAAGGGGTGGGAAGCCTATCTATTATTAATGATTTGTTTCTGGGTTTTATGTATTTTGTCTGATTTTAAAGTTCACATGTACAAAGATAATGGAATCATGGACAACTTGTTTTACTGTTTGGAGATTTTGCTGTTTCTATAATTCATACAAAACCCATGTAGCACAGTTTCTGGAATGGTAAAACATCTTACTGTAATGTAACAGAATGAGCCTTAAGGATTTGTAAGAATAAGCACTTTTATATTAAAAAGTAAATATTAATTCATCAGTAAGATTACTTTTTTAATGTGACAATAAACCATAAAATCAACATCTTTCTGTCTCAAGTATGTGTCATCTATTTCTTATTTTAAATACTTGAGTGTGGAGTGCTGTCATTTCTTTAGACTTTGTGGTTTGGAAGTGTCTTTGTAATCCTCAAACCACAAAGTAACCTCTTCTCTCTGCCCCCTACTCCCTACCAAAGTTTAAAAACGCCTAGATACTTTTTGAATGAACATCAGTATTTTAAATGTAAGGAACTAAAAATGAGTGGGTGTGAAAGATCAAATGACTGTGTAAAATCCTTTGTAAACCTTAAAAATTATCTGAATGTAAGCTATTATTATGGTTCTGATAAAAAAAAAATGCCTTTGATGCTTAGAGATTTGCCAGTAGATGTCTTTTGGTGTATCTGCCATAACGGGCAGTAATCTAGAATCGCCTCTGGCAGCCAGGCCAGAAGTCATCTCTCTCTGGAGCTCACCATCTTTCCTCTCTTCAG